AGGGGGGAGGGGGCAGGGAGGGGGGAAATGAGCAAATGATATTAAGGGCTAAAGTGTAAGGCAGGTGTTTTGAGATTGATGAGGGCAACAAATGTACATATATGCTTGACACAATGGATATATGTATGGACTGTGATGGGAATTGTACAAGCCCTCAATAAAATAATTTTTTTTTAAAGAATATGCCAATTTATATTTAGGGTATCATCATATCAGGTATCACCAAGCAACTGACATAAGCAATTAACAGATGCTCAATGGGTTTGGGGTTTTTTTCCCCAATAGATGCATCCTGTTTAGGAATACTCCCAAGTGTCTCTAAATATCTTCAATCTGAATCCTCAGGTATTTTCTGACATACTGACAGACCTTTTCACTTACTGGATCATTCATTCACTAAGTAATTATTTACTGAGTATTGCAGGTTCAGCTGCATATTTTGCAGAGCCTTAAACATGACTTCAAGTCTAGAGGTGAACAGTCCGGGCTTAATAAGGACACACTATGAACTCAGAGCCCTGGCCCCTTGCTTCTTGACATTTTGCCATCGTCATAGTATAAATTCCACTTTGTGGTCTAAAGTGGCTTCCCTAACTCCAGCTACCACATCAGTATCCCAGTCACCAAGAAAGAGGAAGAGTTTGAGAACTATGCATTTCCTTCATTTAAGAGCACCTCTTGGAAACTGCACACATGGCCACTTGCAAGTCACGACTATCATAATGCCAGTAAGAAAGACTCAGGAACAAATTCCTTTAATTGCATAGCAATGTTTCTAGATAAAAGTCAGAAACTTTAGGAGCACAAAAGTTAGAGAAGATTGGAAGGAACGTAGCAATCTCTTCCAAATAACATTCTGGTTTCAGGGATACAAAGATCAGTGAGATATAGGGTCTATGCTTGTGGCCTTTAGCCTAATAACAGAAAGCAATATGCAAACAGTAATCACTCAAGAGTCAAACAAGCTAACAACCACTGTTTGAAGACACTGATATAAGTCCTCCAAAGAGAAATATCACTGAACTTTACAAACTATTCTCAAAAGTTCATAGTTTTAATAATGAACATTTCTTCACTCTATTCTACTGTATAAGTTATAACATTGAGTAAAGATCACTTAAATGCATAAGCGTGTGTGTGTGTGTGTGTGTGTGTGTGTGTCACACACAAGGGGTACCCTACAAAAAAACTGAAATTTTTATTTTTCAAAGTTATGTATTTAAATTTTTTTTTATAAAACAGCCTTATCACCTTCAAAGTACTCTCCATTAAGCTTAATATATTTGCCAAATCTGTGATTCCATTCTAGGAAACATTTTCCAAACTCATCTGTTTGGATGGCTGACAGCACCTCCCTCCTTTTTCTGCACCTCTTCTATGTCGTCAAATTGCTGTCCTTTCATGTCCTCTCCATTCGTGGAAACAAAAAAAAGACGCATGGAGTGAGGTCAGGTGAATCAAGTGTGTGGGGCAAGAGAGGCATGCTGGGTTGTTGGGGTTTTTTTGCCAAAATCTGGTGCACTGAAATGGCTGCTTGAGCAGGTGCAGTGCCATGGTGGCAAAACCAATCCTCTGTCTGCCACAAATCAGGCCTTTTTTGTCACACACTTTACACAATCTTTTCAGAGCCTCTAAACTGCAGGATAAGCAGCCTGATCTGGTGGAATGAATTCCAAGTGCACTGTACCCCTCACATCCCAACCAGTTTTGGGGGTATCCCCTCATATATCACCAAACTGTGTGGTTATAGCTGTAACAACTTGGAAATATCACTTCAACAATGTGCCACGACTCAATAATCTAAGTTGTTGTCTGATGAAACTAATTGAATGCTTTAGGAAAAAATATATACACTACAGATACCAGAATATGTACAATATGCACAAGAATAAACTATAAGGTCACAGTGCTACCACGCCAGAAAGGAAAGAACTAAATGCTGTTGCGGCTTACTGTTATCCACTGGGTGTCTAGCAATTCCTTGGCTGTGATTCTGTGAGCAGGGTCCACTTTCATCAGTTGTTTCAAAGCACTTGTAGCTGCAAATATGGAGATAGTTTGAAAATCTTACTCTTCTTCATTATAACTAATATTCATTTTTCCAACTTATTTAAGTTTGAGTTTGTATGACATGGAAAAATGCCAATTGCAAAATAAACTTCATCAGTGTAGATAGCTAATAAGTTAAAGGCACAAACTGTTTTATTGCCTGGACTCTCTAAGAATGGCCTAGGGTAAAAATTAGTCTGATGATCATCAAATTCACTCTTCTTGTTAGAATCTTTATTAAAAAATCACAATGAAAATAACATTAATTCCTTAAGTAAATAATGTTTGCTTTATTTACACAAGAAAGTGTAATGACTAAGCAGGTTTCAAATATCTGAATTACTGACTGAGTTTATTATATTAGCTATACTTGCACTAGTAAATGGTAAAGACGTCTATCCTTACCATATTCAGTTACGGAATCCCAGACTGGATCTTCAAAATGTAGCTCTCCCTTTCTTATTAGTTCAAAAAGTTTATCTTCTGAGTTTGCCAAAAAGGGAGGTTCTCCACATAATCTACAACAAAGGAAATTGTGTGTGTGGTTATTTTAAATTAAAAATACACAAAATAATCAAAACAAAGCTATTAAAAATTAAGGTTTTAGAGGCGTTGGAGGTAGAAGCCCGTCATATTTAAATCAAAGGAAGAAATGGATACTTCTCTGGATATAGAAGAGGATTGTACTAGATCAGTGCTAGGCTCTTACCTCAGCTGGGAGAGATGACCTAGTAAGAGCAGTAGTATACAGTTGTACATTGAAACCCCCAGATTTGCAAAAAGTCCCCCAATTCTTTCACCTGGTGAAAGACTGAGTTTATATGGGACTAAAATAAGTGGCCGGGGCTGGGGAAGGGTGGGGAGTACGTGTGAGTTCATGTACACGGTAGTGAGGAGGGACACTGCAGCATGGGCAAGAGTAAAGAAATGTGGGAAAACACAACCCAACCGGGGCTAATTGAGAAATATACAGAGTTACCAGATGGCCATGAAGAAACTGAATCAACTGTAAAACACGATACAAATGCAATGATAATAATAAACCAAGAATAACCCTAGGACTGTCAATGGGCTCTGGGTCACAGCCAAAAGGCCATTTAGATGGCCATACTTCCTCAACTGTAGTATTCAAAGTAAAGCTCTAAATGAGGAATATTAGGTGACGATGACTGGACTCTTCACTTAGGAAGACTAAAAGCTAATGCAGGCAAAACCATGAGTAGTGTTTATAAGCATAGACTTGTTTGTGCGTTCTATAATATAGGAACTCTGTAAATTTAGAATCCTTTCCAATTAAGTACTGTACTTCACAAAGAATATAGCAATTCTTTGAAACAACCACTTCAATAAGTGTTCCAATACTGCAAGGATGTACTTAAAGGCTTAGCTCACTTCTTCAGGCTGTATCCTTCGCCATTATGACCAACCTTGACATAGGAGGCCGAGCACCTTTTCCCAAGGACCAGCAGACGGAAGTTGGACTTGGCCTCCCCACAGAAGCACCTCTGCATGTTTATTCTCCAGCTCTCAGAATTATGTTTTCCCGTTTTATTGTTGAAGGAATAAAATGGTATAATTCAAATACACTGCTCTAACAGTTAATATAGTATGTCCCTAACATAATAATCTAAGTCTTTTAAAGATTAGTGTTTTTTGTTTTTTGTTTTTTGTTTTTTTTTTAATCAATTTATTGGGGCTCATACAATTCATCACAATACATAGATCAATTGTATAAAACACATCTATACATTTGTTG